TTTTTCCTCTGGCTGCAGGGCTTCATGGCGCTGATCTACCTGTGCGTGGAGGACGTGTTCCGCCTCATCAACTACTACAGCTTCAGCTACTGGTTCTTCGTGGGGCTGTCTATCCTGGGCCAGCTCTACCTGCGCTGGAAGGAGCCCGACCGGGAAAGACCCCTCAAGGTACCCCCCCCCCCAGACTGTTATCTGGGAGCCAAAGGCCCCTTTTTTTTTTGCTTGGAAAGCTCAGTTTGGTCATCTGGAGGTGTTTGGACTCTAATCCGAGGGGCTTCATCAGCTCTAACTGATGGTGGAGCTCTGAGGTTACGAGTTACCGACCAATCAGAGCCCCCAAACCTCCACTAACCCCCCACCCAGGTGGTCTCCATGGCCCCCAGCAGGAGGGACTGGAGGGCCTTTGTTTTTTTGTTTTTTTCCCATAATTCTTTTGTTATACCTACAGGATATTGATCTGACTACATTTGTATTCATTATTTTGCCTCTTATTTTACTTATTTTTGGTTGTCTTGCTGCTTCTTTTCCTTATTTATGGTTGTTTTGCTGCTTCTTCCAATACTTTTTGGTTGCTTTGATGATTCTTTTACTTATTTTTGGTTGTTTCCCTGCTTCTTCCACTTATTTTTCATTGTTTTTCTACTTCTTCCACTTATTTTTGGTTGTTTTGCCGCTTTTTCCACTTATTTTTGGTTGTTTTGCTGATTTTTTTTACTTATTTCTGGTCGTTTTGCTGCTTCTTTTTCTTCTTTTTCATTGTTTTTATACTTCTTCCACTTATTGTTGGTTGTTTTGCTGCATCTTCCACTTATTTCTGGTCGTTTAGCTCCTAACCACCACTAAAACCCCCCAGGAAGAAGTTAACTGATCAACTGACATTAATATACTGCAAGTGTAACTAAAGAAAAACCAAAAACCAAACGTTGGCTCTGATCCTTCTCCCCTCTCCTCCCCCCTCTCCACAGCTCAGCCTCTTCTTCCCCGTGGTGTTCTGCCTCCTGACCGTGTTCCTGGTGGTGGTGCCCCT